GGTCGTGGTTGAAATGCGTGAAGTAAAGGCCTGTGGCAAAGCCCATACGTTTTTTTTTCTGGAAATCCTTCACATGTCAATTCGCTCACGGAATGTTATTTCAAGAGATTATTCGCATGAAAGAGGGGAAAAGTGCGCCCGACACTGATTTCACGAAATCAGCTCATTCTGCGCTCGCCTCAATTCATGGCGCCGTGCTTTTTTGTTTGCTCACTGGATTATTTGGCTAACTATTTAATTAATTTGCTTGCTAATTGAGAACCTGGTTTTTGATCAATGAAGTCACTATTTCTCATTGTGAGAAAGAACTTTTGAATTTGTCTCTTATGAATTGTAAGTTATTGAAAACCTCGAAAGATTCGAGTGCAGTCGGAGCTCTTTGGAACTGCAGCAATGGGCCCTTTGCTTAGTTTTTCGTCCATTTTGTGAACACCAGTGTCAATTCACGACAAGTTGAGGGTGGTCCCGAAAATGGTTGTCTGGAATCACGGTGTAGTAATTTGCTCTCTTGTGAAAAAGTTACTTTCTGCAGTAGGGTAATCCAAGCAGGACACTTTGTAGGTTGGGATCCCCGGCGAGGGGGTTCTATTCGGTCGAAGGAGAGAGAGAGGGAGGGGTAGTGTACTATCTTCTGAAAGAAATGTTTTTGGTTGTTGACCTTCTTGCTATTTCCCGTTTCACTGCCGCTCCGTTAGTGAAAGCTGGTAGAAAGATGGGGAGAGATGGAGGATAGTAGGATGGTAGGAAGGTTTAGGGACAGGGTGAGGGGATCGAACTAGAGGAAATTCTGAGGGAGGGGGGGGGCTGTGTTTTGGACACTTCGCCCCCAACGGCAGGACCTGATTTGAATGTTTTCTACTCCCTACCCCATTACCTGGCCTAAATTTTTCGAATCCTGCCGGGGATTGTCTGCAACTCTGAGAAGCATTTTATACAGATGCTGAACACTCTGAACTTCACTATCCAAGGGTTTAGTAAGTTGTAATAACTAGACTGGATTCCTTGGCTAGTATTATTCCGTTGATCCTGAACATTTAGTTTTGAAAAGAATTGGTTCAAATCTTGATACTTGTAGAAAGCCCCTCTAGCATTTGAGGGGTAACCCTACTCTAGAGGAGAATAAGCACATCAGCTTGTACCTGTTTGGATAGATATCCTGGGCTGTGAAAGGCTGGAGCCTTGTAAGACGTAATGAACTCAAACTTCTGCCTAGATGACGTGGATTTCCGTAATTACCGTATTTAAATGGCTATAAAGCTCGTCTACTTGCATGGTTGCAGTAAAGCGCAAAATATTTCTGAACGAGCAACAGTTTTTTTTTTCATATTTCTCGCATATCCTAATCTTTTGGCCTATTACTCGGAGGATAGTCCTACTCCCAAGGGGTACGTCCATATCCAAGGTTGTACATATCTCATTTGATAGCCTGAAGGTTGGAGCCTCACCATCGTTCAGCAAAACTGGGAATATTATAATGCAAAACCCACATTTTTGCCAAAGAAAGTTGGTTCATCCACATGGATACTTTTTTTGCTTCAGCTTGGGCAAAATATTCCTAGCCACACCTATCCCAAGGCAATTTAGACAAGAACGCATCAAAAAATACGCATTGAGGCGGGGGTGAGCCTTACACCGAGTTGGCCTAATACGCTCAGAAAATAGGGTAAAAGCGAGGCGCAGTTCGGCGACAGGGGGAGGAGACATTTTGCACTTGCTTCACTAGTTCCGATTTACAAGTCTCTGGTGAAACCTGTGGTCTTTTAAAGCTGTAGCAAGCCTTTCTTAGTAAAACCTTGCGAAAAGAGGCTGTCTAGATGGGTCGACAGTAGCAAAAGTTCAAAATGCCCCCCCCCCAACCCCTCCGTCGCCGCACTGCGCCTAAAGTGATATCCTTAGGAAATCCTCCAGTATTGAGAACCATTCGAATAGGCGAGTTAATACAAGGCATCCGTTGATGGTTTCCATTTCCGGCTGCCAGTGAACGTACTTACATTGAAAAGCTTTTGAGAGATTTCATTGTGAGTCTTTGCTGTCAGGGTTAATTATGTTGCCGGCGGGATTACCAATTCTGCTTTTGGTAATGAACTCGCTACGTGCCTTCCATCCCCTACTTCACTCACTTTGACAAAGTCCTTTTTGAGATGATGCTATTGCTTTCAAGCTTTCGTTTAATCTCATGGACTCATGAACAGATGGCCTGATTTGAGGTTCGTATGACAACTGGTAGAACAGTTGCATAGTAGTTTGTTTTTTTCAAAGTAGCGTGCAGGCGTGCTGAAGATGAGAGCCAGTAATGGAAGACAGAGATGAGAGTATGGAAGGAACATCAATGATTGTTATTTATTCATCATCTGCCGTGTCTCCACAAAGTCTCAGCAGGGCACGATTTCTCCTTTCACTGAAGTCTCTTAGTGAAGTTCAATTGAACCCTTTTAATCTCTTCCTCTTATTCGGGATATCTTTACAGTAGCCAGTAGTTCGCTCTGACTGCAGAAGGCTAATCCCCGTTGTGTCGGCAAGCCCGGAAACCGCAACTAGCGTTTGATTTGCTCGGCACGGACGACGATCTCATCATCATCATCATCGTCGTCGTCATTTCGGAAAGTCAAACTCGCATACTAATGTCTCTCTCATCGGTGCTTTGGTGCCGACGGCGCCGGGCAGCCGAGGAGACGCTGGACGCTACGAAGAGTGACTGAGCGAGGGAGGAGAGGAGAGCGCGACGGGGGACGACGGGGGACACGACGGCAGCGGTGGCAGCATTGCGGGGCAGCGCGTCGTCGTCATCGTGTGTGCCTTTATTTGCGACCATGCTCTTAATAGAGCTCTCTTCTGGCATACCCAGCGATGCCCATATCTAATTCATGTCGAATACTTGTTAGCGCGAAGGGGGCGCCCCCCGAAACGCAGCCGGCACCGCCAACACGCTGCCGCTGACGCCGCCGCCATTTCTCGAACGCACTCGCCGACCTCACACGCTCAGACCTCATTTCACTTATTGCGAGTCTTAGTCAACTAGTCAACTTGTAACAGGAAACCAATCCGAGCCTTGCACTCATTCAATGACGTACATGATACACTTTAAACTCATCCTATCCCTTTTCATCTTTCCCTCTTGAAGATACAAGGGACTATTACTGTTGTACAGAAAACATTAGTGACACTCTGAAAAATTTACTGTTTTTCTCAATTTCTTCTCGGAAAGGAATCTAAAGTATAGGTAATTACCACTTACCCTTCGTCACATTATCAAACTCTAAAAAAAACACCGTAACAGGTTGGAGCTTAATTCGATTTGTTTTCACTTTCATTTCCTGTCATTTACAGGTAATTGAAGTCTTTACTTTGACTTCGATCGAAAAGTTTTAATTGCCTTTTAAATAGGGTGTCTGGGAAGAAGTACTTTTCACAGCAGTTATTCATTCACTCAGAGATGTCATGCACACTTTCAATTTAGTCAGTTTAACTAAGCTACTTGTACTTTACTTGAAAACGAAAGCTCTAGAAGATAGCTTTCACCTTACGTGGACATTAGCAATCGAGTCTTACTAAGTAGTAATCGTGTTCTGCGTAGATTAAGTCGATGCTTCAGAGGAACTATTGTTAGAGGTATTCTTATTCTGAGTTGCACATTCTCATGCGGCAGGTAAAGCCGTAACTCTTTGGAAGCTAGCCAATTTCGAAGAACTCATCCCCACTTTTTTATATTGATCTTCAATGTCTTGAATTCATGCTGAATCACTATTTGTAATGAATCACACTTTTAGTCCTTGAACTGATTCATTCTGAAACTTCACACTATTTACTGCCATATAAACTTTTGCCCATCTATGGAAGCATGTAGTATTACGGTGTTTTCCGTGGTCTATTACTTGGCAAGTCAATAGAAAGTACAAAGTATCGAGAAGTAGTTGGTTGGATGGAGGAATGTCGTCGTCGTCGTCGTCGTCGCGTTCCCAAAAGTGCTAGTGCCTCCTCTCGGTTACTCAGTCAGCCATGCATCAACGAGAAACCTGTGGTTACTTACAAATTCATATATCTTCATAAAGGAACGTTGCACTTTCAAAGTGAATAAGCTCTCTGAGAAGCCTTTTTTCCCCAGGATTTTCGAGATGTTTCCACGCCTTCATCATCTGCATGTTCCGGATGAAAATCGGCTTGTAAATCATACGAACCATTCACTTGAATTTGATTGCTTTTAGACTCCAAGAGTACTTACTGAGGTTTTCTCTTTGGCTTTATTCCTCATACTAAAGTAATTGGCGGTCCCTTTGACCTTTGAATATCGTGGGAGTAAAAGTTACTTGGGAGGAGTTCATGGCCTAACACTTCTCCAAAGAATGCCGTCTCTTTCATTAATCACCATTCGTGACACTTGGTAATAATCCTAATCTCCTACTTTCTTCTAGAAATGTCACATTTTGATCATTGTCACATTTCGATTCGAGACATTGATCTACTACAGTAATGCTAGCTTACTGATCTACCACAGAAATACATCGCGTTTCCTATTAGACTACTACAGTACTACTGTCAACTGTACTGATCTACTACCGTAATACTCTGTGCTTACGGTTCCTTACGTCTTTTGAACTTTTCGTGCTTGAAATTCTCGCTGGAAATGCTTGATTCTCCTGCCCGAAATTCCATTCCAACCAAAATGACACATGTTTAGCACGAGTGACTAAATGAGCAGTAGCAAGCGTGTAATGATCGTGCAGGTGTCTGCTGATGCTTGTATGCGCGTTGACAACTAAGCCGAGTAGACCCGGGATTGTGGGGGTGGGGTCGAGGGTCAGTGTCGCCGCGTGATTCGACAAGGTTCATGAGGTTAATGAGTGCAGGCGAGTCTAAGCGAGGTTAGCCTCATCGCGCCCTATGCTTCTCCTCATCCTTCTCTGTTCATCATTGTCAGACAGACGGTGGGCCCCCGCCCACTCGCCCCGCTCTGACCATGCTCCTTTTCTTTCCCCGTGAGTTCTCACCCCTCACACACACCATTGCGGTGCCCCCTTCGTTTAGACAAAGAGACATACAGAGAGACGTTAGACAGAGTTCAATTAACAAATGTTCGCCTTATAGATACGAGCCCCTGCCCATTGAGTGCAGAGCCGACGCCACTACTGCCCGTCGAACGACCGCAGAACATTCACGGCATTATCGCCAGTCAGTTTTTTCTTTTTCTTTACTTCAACACCATTGCTCTTCTTCTTTATTTTCATTTTCTTTTTATTTTTTCTTATTTTCGGAAGAGTGAGTCTTAGGATTTTGGATTCATTCACGCTTTACTACTTATTTGTAAGCTGATTCTAAGAGTTAACCATTGAAATCTCAGTTAGATCTTTGCTTAAGATTAAGGCGTTTGACGCAGGTCTTATTTCCATGGAAAATCCGAAGATCTTCTTAATTTTTCCCTTCTTATAGTGGCTTTATTCTCGTTCCTTTTCTTTTCTGGACATTTGGCACATGTGTAAACACAGCGAGTTTTTATTGTTTTGTTGGACCCGTTTAGGACCCTAATTTAGTTAATTATTTGAATTGTAGGGTAAATATATTTTAAACGACTACGAATTGTTCCTAATTGTTACCAGCGTTAATGCTAGTGATTCTAAATTATCTACAGTGTCATCGGCGCGTAACATGAACGGACCCGCTGGTGCACGGCCGTTGGTGGCGCTGTTGGATGGACGTGATTGCACCATTGAGATGCCTTTGCTAAAAGATGTCGCCACGGTGGCTTTTTGTGATGCGCAATCGACGCATGAAATTCATGAAAAAGTCGGTCCCCTTTGAATTACCTGTTTTTGTTTATTTTGAATTTTTTTTGAATTGTCGTGTTTCCCTTTGTTAGTTGCTCGATGTGTGGCGATGGGGTTGAGTTGAGATAAACGCGTGGCATACGAGACGAAATGTGATTCTGGACTCATCGCTTGACATGAGGGTCATGTTTCGGTGTGTGTGCGTGTGTGTGTATGTGCGCGCCTTTTCGCCCCGTGTTCCTCATGCGCCCTCACCCCCCGCTCTCCTCCTCCTCTCCTCACTTCCCATTGATTTTCTTCGCGGTTGCGCGAATTATTCACGCGAATCACTCTGATACTCCACAACAAGTCCCAAGCACTCATAATGAGACAACACACATACTGACCGCAAAAATCGACCGCAATCCGTAGCCTCTCGGCCCGCGTGTTAGCCAGAGTAGCCAGGTTGTCCAGGAGGGGAGGAAGCGCGCAGATTGGTAGGGGATGACGACACGAGAGGCAGATGGTCTACCGACGGCGTCCATGCGACTAGCGGTGTGCGCGCGTTGAACGATTGGCCCCTTGGAACACCTGCATCCATAAGACACCGCCACATCGCGACAATCGACGCGACCACTGTTTGCATTTCAATATCAAGCCTGGTCCTGGGTGACGGGACGAGAAGTGAGCGCGGCTTGAGAGTGGAGAGCAACGATGCTGGCGGTGCATCCGTCGCGGCGCGTTACCAATGCCCAAATCGCCTTCGTTCTCTTAGCATCCGTGTGTGTGTGTATGCGGTCGAGAGCTCAACTGCGTCATTTAATATTCACGGCCGCGGCAATATACCAGCGTCGTAGTAGTAATGACTTTTTTAATCAATGCATTGGCTGTAACGAGTCACACAATTGTCGCTCACGTTTATGCTATTTTTCCTCGTCGAAGCGACGTCGAGATGAGTAAGAAAATCCCCTCAGCCACATCCTATAGGGCTCAGGGCGTTTTGAGGCAGGGTACAGCATCGTCGTGTGAAGCACCTAGGGAGGGGGTACTTTTCCGCTGGGGAGGGGGGTCGTATGTGCCTTTGAGAGAAATTTGCCGCGTTGGGAAAAAATTTTTCCCGGTTGTTGACTTTTCGCGTGATTTTTCCTGATACCCCCCTCCAACCCTCCCCACGCTCAACACCAAATTTTTTAGGGAGAAGTAGGAAAAAGTGGGAAATCGTCAGGTAGGTGTTAGGGAGGGAGGGGGTCGTACTGACACCACCACTTCACACTTCACGATGCTGTACCCTGTTGCGAAGACGTTTCATCCTTCCACTAGGCGAGAAACCAACACATCCCAACATCGAGAAACTGATGTTATGACGGATTCAAATGACAAATCATAATAATT